CAGACACACACACACACACACAGACACACACACAGACACACAGACACACACACAGACAGACACACACAGACACACACACACACACACTCGTCGTATCCTGCTATGAAAAGATGGATTTTTTTTTTTGGACTGAATTTGTCTCAGCTTTCTCAAAATATGTATTTGCATTAAATGCATTCAAGTATTTATGTAATTGCTCCTGGCTCTGACCTTTAAATGTTTTAAATAATTATTTAATGTATTGAAAGATTAACAGGCATATTATTGTCTACCGTTGTCATTTTTAAAGTATTTACCCAATTTTTAGTGTTTACATCATGATTGCATTCTTTCAAAGTATTAATGGCCTGTTCTGAGCTGACTGTCTGTCTCTGTCGGTAGAAGTCTGACTTTGAGGCGGTTCCTGCACTGAATCTGGGGGATCTGGACATCACCACAGACGAGTTCATCCTGGACGAGGTGGACAGTGAGTTCTGCGTTGTCTCTCATCAGCTGAGGAAGGGAAGCACAGGTCGCTTATTTCCAGAACTCACTAATAATCCCTTGTTGATTGTCTTTTTCAGTTCACATTCAAGCGAATCTGGAGGATGATCTGGTGAAGGAGGCGCTCAAGACGGTGAGATGGACGCTGATCTGCTGATGTGTGAGTGTGTGATGATGATGATGATGAAGATGTGTTTGTGTGGATCAGGGTGTGGATCTGCGGCAGTACTCTAAACAGGTGGAGACGGAGCTGCAGCGCATCGAACAAGCATCAATCAAGGACTGTATCCATACTTCAGTGCATTTATGACAGAATCACACCAAAACATGTCAGCTCATCGAAAGAAAACTACTTCATGAGATTCACTGTTATGATTCTGCATATAATGTTTCTGTCAGTGAACATGATTATGTTTCAGTAATCAAGTCTTATTATTTCAAGCTTGTGACGGACGTTTGCAGAGACCCTTAACAGTAGCACTGGTACAGATATCAAAGAGAGTCAGAATATTGCCTCTTTACACAACCAGATCACCGCCTGTGACTCCATACTGGAGGTGAGTGCATTCAGTCTGCATTAGAACTGAGCAACCTGTTAGCGGAAAATAACACACGTACGAAACTCTCCTTCAAGTTTCAAATTATACTAACTTTTGGAATATATTATTATTAGTGCTGTCAAAATTAGACGATTAATTTTTTCAGTTTAACGTGTTAAAAATATTTAATGCAGGGACGGCGCTAGGGTTGGCCACCCCACTCACAACTGCTGCTTTTGTCACCTTTTCTCTTGACAAGAAGTGCATTTATTTAGTCGCAGAATGTCTTTACGATCACATCAAACGAGAGAGAGGTTTCAGACGCGCGATCACTTCACTTTAGCGCCGGGCTGTTAGCGGAAACTGTACTGTGCTTGTGGCGCGTGCTCTTCTCCCTGTATTATTGAATATCAAAGTGCGAAATAAACTACGTGCATGCAATGTCGTGCTCAGTTACGTCATGAAGTTACCAAAAAGGCGATTAAACCTGCCTTAAAATTGTGCATGCATGTAATATATTTTATATGAGTCACATTTAAGAACATGTCTCTGAAATGGTTTTCAAAACTGTCCTGGAGCAGCCCAGCACTGGCTCCCTCTTCTAACACACCCGATTTAACTCGTAAGACCTGAAGTGGGTCAGAAAAGGTAAAGAGAGTTGAGAGAAAATAGGATGCGTGTCAGATCTGCGTCATGTTCAGCAGCGGCAGCTCTTAGAGTAATAACAGCCAAAACAACCTAATAACCAGATGCTGTGATGTCTGTCAATCAAAGGAAAAAATAAAAATGTGGAAATCAGTAACTTTTATAGCTTTAAGGATTCATCTATATTTAATTTAGAATTTAGTG